TCCCTCAAACAAGCAACCCCTAATCGGTAGAGTTCATTCTTGTTTATTCACAGCAGATACAGCACATAAGGAAAAAAAATTCGTGCTCCGAAACATGAAATTCTCTAAAATCAACGGATTGTGTCACCCACTGACGTTGCGAGATGCCGCAGGGAGCTATGCCGGAGGGCTCTGCTTTCCTGAACTGTATGTCTCTCCGAACGATGCTCAAATGTGGTAATGGTAAGAAATGTATACGACTTAATGGACCGAAACATTTCTTACCTACTTTAATAATTCCTTACATTCTTTTCATCGATTTTTCTCACATTTTTTCTTTAACCCTAATTAGTGAAAACTGTTTTACAATGAATAACATGAAAAACATAATCACAAAAAAGCGATAAGAAAACCAGAAATGAACTTCAAAATTTGCAGCATAGGACCGAACCGAGCAAAATCATTTTACTGAACGACGACACATGCAGAAACATCACCAAGAAACACGCAGAAACATCATCACGAAACATTATTTTCAGGTCATTCCACCATCAACAATTTAACTTAATTACATTTAGCATGCTTCATTTTATTTCAAAACCCCGGCAATTACTTGAAATAACACCATTATAGGACTGCCAGTAGTGCGAGCCGTTAATTCAAGCCATTTTTTGCTAAATCCCGGGACATAGGGACACCAGGGACATTATAAATAATCACTTTTAAGTTCTAACAACAAATGTACTTATAATAACTATGTTCACTTGCTGGGCCAATTTAAGATATTAAGAAAGGCAATTACAATAACTCGGCTCGGCTGATGACCAATGGCGCCTTAGCGTTCCAGCGCTTCGCTCTATCATCTTTGCCTACACTATTTCGCGGCGGCGCTCGCTGGGACTTTGCCAGACGCGTTGGGTAGCCCTGCCCAGTATCTGGTGGCTAAACCACGTGGCTGGGGGGCTGATGGGTGAGAGGACTGGACGTGGTTGGAGGGTGTTGGGTAGTTGTTGCCCAGGTACAATTTAGAGAGCGTGACTGAAGCTAGGATGTAGGAGAAGAATGAAGTTGTTGGTTAAGAGTTGAGGACGATGATAGTGGTGGGAGATGAAGAGTGCCCCGATGCGGCTCTGGAGGCAGGGATTGGGGATAAGATACAGGAGGGAAAAAGGGTTCTAGTCAGAAGTTCGAAGCAAGAACTGCAGATAACAGTAAAGAGGAAAATAAACCAACTCACTACAAAAAAAAAGTAAATTAAAACAAACCTGATTTTGTGAATAAAGGGAAAAAAGCAAAATTAAAGAATTGGAGCCTGTAATCAAAAGCAAAAGCAAACAAAAACTGAGCTTATGCGAGTAGGATTTTTCTTACAAAAACCCGCCTTCAGTAAGCGGTCCCGCATCTATGAGGTTTATGCTTAGGTGAAACTGAGAGCAAATAAGTTCGACAGGATTTAGTGAAACTTATGCTTAGGATAAGCGGGGAAGCAAGTAATTTCAACAGGATTTACTGAAACTTATGCTTAGGTGAAGCTAGGGGCAAATAATTTCGACGGTATTTACTGAAGCTTATGCTTAGGTGAAGCGAGGGATTACAAAAAAATTCAGAGAGTTGGATTGCACAAGAATTGCAGACAATTCCAAAGTGTTGTCTCTTGCAGCCTGCAACTGTGCGCAACAGTTACAACTTTGTTTTTTTTGTCTTCAAAATCTCACAGGAACAAAGACTGACTTCATTCCCAGGCATCCACTCTACCCTGTTTTTGCCCGCTTCATGGAACTTATTCGCTCTCAGCTTTACCTAAGCATCAGTTTCATAAACAGGAAAGTCTGATGGTAGGAAACCTAAATAGGAAGGCTAAGCATCAATTTCATAATTTAGTGGCTACATATTCAAGCAAATACTAGGTGTACCAATGGGTGGTAATGCTAGTCCGGATATTGCCGATCTCACAATGTCAGTAATGGAGTATCGCTTCCTTCGTAAGAATCCGGGGTTTCATCTCCATCTCTTTCAATATATCAATGATATTTTAGTCGTGAATTGCGCCAATTTTGCTGAAAGTGTCAGCAATATCTATGGGCCCAATTTACAACTCAATACTACTTACTCCGGACAAATGCCTCTTTCTTAGACCTCCAAATTCTATGCCAGGATGGCAGATGCATTTTTAGCATATATAATAAGACCTTGGACTACCCATTCACAGTTAATTATGGTGGGCATCCTGACAGCGATATGGACCATGCGGTATAAGATGACGTTATTAT